ATCGCTCGACGGACGTGGGACGGACGGGACGGGCAATGCACCGCACGCCTCGTCCTCGCATCGCCCGCATCTTGTCTTGGATCGCCGCGTGGGCCCCCGTGTCCACCACGGGAGGCGACCTCTAAGAGGGGGTGCAGCAGGAACGGGCGCGACCGAGGCTTGGTCTAGGCCCTTCTTCCCTCACTTCTTTCGCTGCCACGCATGATTCCTTAGGTGGCCCCCAATGTGACTGAAATCTCCCCAGTGCTCTATCAGGGCCAGGCCCCCCCGCGCAAATTGGAAATGATCTACTCGCGGTGGGTGTGAGAGGGCCTTAGGAAGGGAGGGAGGGAATGGGGAGGGAGGGAGAAAGGGAGGGGTTGTAGACGCTCGCGGAGTGCCTGAAAACGGGAGAGTTTCGATGTCGTTTCCTTCTCTCGTCTTCGCGTCCTGACCGCCCTGTGTGAGAGGAGGTCATGACTCGTACTCACCTTCCTTTCCGCATGGCTACCCGACCAGCTACTGTCAATACGCGCTGGTGGAGGATGCCTCGGGGCAGGGGAATGACAAAGCGGTGCGGATCCAGGAGCTCTTTGACATATCCAACAAAAAAGCGGAGAAGATCAGCTCAAAAATCCTCAGGCAAGGAAGGGAAGAGGGGGTGGAGGCGCGGGGAGGGGGATTTAGCAGGTTGTAAGCGCGCGGCCCGGTGGGAGGAAGCGGTGGGCTCATGCATATTGCAGGGTCCGTCAGGTCCGGAGCACGCATGTGACCTTCCCATCCTTCTGCCCCTACCTTCCTGGACATCTTGGCCGCGCGGCTCTCATATCAATGTGATTTTGACTTTCACCCTGACCTCAATTCTGACCCCACCCATACGATCCCTCTCCTTAGCTCGCAAGACAACATGATGAAGATGTTGGAGAAGCAGTTTGGCGCGGGCGGCGAGGGCATGGGAGAGATGGGAGCAGGTAGGGAGGGAGGGAGGGGAGGAATGGGAAAAGACAGGAGGGAACAAGAGAGGTCTCGGCAGCCGTCAAGGGGAGGACCAGGCGTGCGCGGTAAAGGGAAAGGTATCGGAAAAACGAACGCAGCTCTTCCGATGGATCCGGCGCATGGCCGCATCAACCGGCGTCTCCCATCCCCTCTCTTCCTGCCCCCCTCTGGCAGAATTGGAGAAGATGTTCGAGTCCTTCGGCGGGATGCCTGACATGGGGAGCATGCCTGATATGGGAGCCGGGGCCCCGGGGGCAATGCCGCAGAAAGAGATGCAGGTAGGGACGCTGGCGCCAAGGGCCACGGGAATAGAAAGTCCAGGAAAGGTCAGGGTTGACGCGCGTCTCGTTTCTTTTCGCAGGAGACCTTGGAGGCGCTCAAGGCGGTGGTGCAGCAGGGAGGACTTTCGGAGCAAGATATGGAGGTGAGCAATGAGGGAGGGAGGGAGGGAG